GTCATTGCAGCAGCTGTCTCAATAATCTCCAGATATTGCTGATTTCCAATACAGTAGGACTCGATTCGCTTACGAACTTTGTCACCGCTGCAGCATAACTGGAGCACACTTCCTTAAGCGTATTCAAATTGCCCAAACATTGACACTTTCGTTCTAACTCTGCCATAGCTGCAGCGGCCGTCTTCCGTTAGCGATGGAAGTCTTACGTTTATCAGTGTGCTAATCAACGCGCTGTTCGAACACTGACTATCCAACTAGTAGAAACTATTCGTCGCCATAAGAGAGTACATACAGTATACCGCATAAACGGAAGTATGGTACTTCTGGCATGATTCCACGTATCTCAGATGTCTCCCCACTCATCAGCAGCTCTTCATCGTTGGCTGCTGGACAGTTCAAATGCTGTCAGCATTGTTACAGGTGGGTGTCAATTTTGTTGTGTCGCACAAGGCTCATGTGCGGACTACATTCACAGGGAAGTTCAAGCAATTCCACAAAAAAAAATTGTTTGAACTGCAGAAGCCAAAATGCTATGTATCATACGGTTGTACGCACGAATGTTGAACGGTAAAGGAAACGTTGACCACGGTACCAGAGTCACAGTGTGATAGAATTAGACGTTCTGTTCTCTCAGAGTCCCACATGCTAAGAACATTAACTAATTGAAGATCGACTGCGGGCACTATGATTTTTTGAGTGAGGTCACAGTCAGAGTTATGATATGTTCTGAGCAGTGAACTCTTTGCTCTCCTTCGAATAAGCTTCTGCAACAGAAAACGAATTACCCATGGTTCCCACGCAGACCTTAAATTGTCATCAGCAAACAAACGTCAGTAAGCAGGTGCCTTTTAGTGATCAAAGCCTAACAGACAAAAACGCGTGTCACATTTTCCTCAAAGCAGTCAATAGGATCTACCGTCGGAACAGACAACGAAAATTCGACCTCGAAGCTGGAAGACTAAATGTGACGGGAAGATGCTTTATAACCACGTGAACATCATTACCACCAATCATATGCCAACGTCTAATCTCCTCAGATATACAGCAAATCCAATGAGCTGTTGTAAAAAATATTTTGGTCACAGGAAATTTTGTGCCAAGCATTTCACAGAGCTCCTTAATGGGTATTAACACAGCGGCAAATCTCCAGATATAGGGCGAAATTGGATACAATGTAGATGCTAACGGTATCCCACCATCCATCGAAAAAATTCGGCAGATGACACAGCTTTTCCAAAGCTCAAAGTCCCGGATTGCGGAGGAAATCCCAAAGTGCGAAAGTGAAAACCTTTTCATCTGGATCCGTCTGCTCCGGTCGTGGACAGCGTATGGCGAAAGTCCGTGATCCTTGAAGCCTGGAAGAAACATGTCCTAATCCTGATCTTGAAGAATGGGAATAACGCGACTCAACTAATTACACAGGTGCCTGGGCAAACCAGTTTCAGACGACTAAGAGACTTCATGGATCTTTCGTTGCAATCAAGCAGACTGCTGAAGTGGCCATATGCAGAGATGACATGTTTCTGATGAGGCGAATCATCGAGCAGTGCTGGAATTTCCAACTTCCTTGGGACCGACTGAAAGAAGGTGTATACGAGAGGGTTAACTGACCCATCTAAACTAAGAGACCACTGTCAGAATATTGAACAATGTCAGCAACAGAGTTCATCAAGGCGAGGTATCCTCTGATTTACTTACTACTCAACGTCATGGCGGACTACGCAATGCAGCCGAAGTGCTCCGTCTCAGACAAAAACTGAGGATCGACCGTTAATGAGTGACGCAGCCTAAGATGCCTGGTCGCATTCGTAACGGGTCTTAAGTACACCTGATCTAAATGTACCATTGATCGACTCTGAAAGTCGCTTAAAAGTAGCAACCAAAGTGTACGTTGATTTTATTTTTATGCATAAATATGTCCATGGATCGTGGCATATTTGCAGGTGTCCAAAGAAGTTCTTGTTCGACCATGCCAAGTGACTCGGTTCTCCATCCATGCACTGCAGGTACTCAAATACCAAGGATCCGTGGCCTGCTTGAATACCCCCACTGACGACTAGAAACAAGGGGACGGTGACATCAAGCTGCTTCAATCCGGATTTAAATATGAGTGTTCATTTTATTTTACTTCATGTGTATTTTTGCACTAAAAATGTTATAATTCACCTACAACTGTTGCACTTTTATTAATCTAACTGACTGTCAAGAATCAATAATGCCAATTTAGTAAAGAATCACTCGTAGTTTCCTTTTCCGACTCGCAGAGTCTGGAACAACTGACCATATAACTTTTAGGTATTACTGTAATACAAATGTATTCAAAACTATTCTTGCGTAGGAACCTTGCACCGGGCACAAACGGTTTGGAGGAGGTGACGAAAACGTTGGAAAATCCTTCATGAGGCATACCTCCCTCCATACAGTAACACTGCATTTGACACAGCAGTAAAGCTTGCCAACTATGAATCTCAACTATGATTTCTAATTGTCAGATTTTCTCAATATATGTATTCAGCTGCTTCAGGTTTACTAGCCCTATACGGCAATGACTGTACATCTAACAACAACAAGGCCATCGTTAGGTGGAGTTCATGGATCCTTGCCGGCTTCAAGCGACCGCTACATGCAATCTCAATCGAAGTGAAATCAGCTTTATGCACCAAACAGCCCATTCTCTACGGTCATGGGTGTCGCAGAAGTGGGGACTTTCATATCAGCCTTTAACGCTGTCTACTCAGTGGCATCGTCACCCCTTTTCAGACCGGCTTGCCTCACATAGTATGGGATGAAACTGGGACATGCCTTCAGCCTCATGCCTTTCTATCCAATGACCCCTTGCATCAAA